CTTCTGCGGTCTGAGGATCGAACAAAAGATGTCCTGACCAAACCAAGGACCAACCGCTTTGTGAAACTGGCAGTGATGGGGCTGACGGTGGCACTTGGAGCGGCTGCCCTGGCCGTGGTGAAAAGTGCCCTGGAGTGGGCCCCTAAGTTTCAGCTGCAGCTGTTTCCGTGAAAGCCGGAGAAGACACATTCATTACATTAAGGTCTCACCCTTCCATGGAAGGATTGGGAGGAGGTGGAATTTCCTTTATTAAAAGGGTTTCTGTCAAGGGTTTTCTATTCCTGCCACCCTTCCCTGCCTGTCCATGTTTGCCTTTGCTTCAGAGGCCAGTAGCAGAGCCTGCCTGACACCAAGGCACTTGGGGGCCTGGGCACAGAATTTGATTATTCCCCTCCCTGTGGGCTGCTGAGTGGGCTCTCTGCCACCTCCCCATGTGTTGGAGGAAATGGGTTTCTTTAGGTCCCAGCTGCCTTTGGAACCTGCTGGGCCAGGGCTACCCTGGTGACTGGGGAACCTCCTGGCCTCCCAGTAGAAAGTTTACTGGACCATGGGATGCCCTCTTTGCCGCCCCTGTTCTGTCTGCTTCACGTGGACTGAGAAGCTAGGGGCTGCCACTGCAGAAGCCAGGCTTTGGCATGAAAACAAGATGGCAGAGGACTCTAGCCTGGGAACACGATTGGCCCCTCTTACGAGCGGCTTCGTTAGCTGGTCAGAAATCAAAGAGACAGATGTGAACTAGGTTACCAGTTAAATCCTACCCATGTGCAGCCTAGAAATTGCATGGGCATTTCCAGTCAAGCAGGAGGGAATGTAGGTTTTTAGGTCCTGGACCTAGACTGGTTTTGCCTGCCTTTTTTTCCTTCCTGTTCTCTCCCTATTCTTTGACATTGCTCATAAAAGATACTTTTATTACTATTTTTAGAATTATATACACCCAACATGTAAAGCACCCTCATTTTAAAAATAATAGTTCCTTCATGGAAAAAAAGTTCTCATCAGAAGGATGAGCTTCTAAGATCCTGAAGTTTACTTTCTACTCAATTGTTTAACATTTTGCTTTAGCCAGAGTTACTGTTTTGTAAAGAGCCCTGCACTTCCAAAGTGCCCAGTTTCCGACTAGCTTTCCTTCCTTCCTGTTTTCCTCAAATCACCCTCCTATTCACAAATAGGTACCCACTCACTGCCTTGGCATTGTTTTTTGGGTCTGATTTATCTCAACTGCTGGTCTCTCCCACCTGGTTGGAAATGTCACTGGAAACTTGCTGGCACCCAGAAAGGGACAAACTATAGCCCGAAGAGCTTGGCAGGAACCTGGAACAGCTGGCGCCCTGCCCCAAGCTTCCCCAAGGACTCTCCGGGCCTCAAGGAGCATGGGCGACTACTTGTTCTTCTGGGACAGCTTTCCTGTAAGCAAAGCCAGCGTTTTTTCCAATTAACTCTGGCTTGGAAAAAAAGTGCCTTTTGCTGCTTTAAAGAATTTGGCCATGTAGTGAAGCAGCCACGTACTTTTGTTTTCCTGGTCTTTCCTGGGCACTGTTCTCTCTTGGCAGGTGTTTGCTTAAAGTGAACATGCCAGAAGCACTCCACCCACTGTGTCCAGACCTCCACATCCTCCCACACGCCCGCTGCGTGCAGGGTGGAGGCGTTCCACATGCCAGGCTGCCAGCAAGCCCAGAGCAGTTAGGGGGTGTCTGTGCTGAGTTACACTAAGCACTTTAAAACCAAAAAAAGCTCAAAGTGATGGTCCATTCTCACGGCAAAGCCCCGCCTGGGCGGAATGTGATGTAGATGGATTAATTTAGAAAGTGGTGAGCTCATCGGGACAAAGGAAGTTATTCCAGGATCCAGAGGTGGTGATGTGGTGAGTGTTCCGTGGTCTCCCACAGCAGATCCGTCCTCTTGCCACCATTTCAGTGGCAGCGGCACTGCCCCTCCTGCCACAGCACTCAGACCTGTTTGCAAACAGCGACGGAATTGATGGGAAGGAGGAAAGGAGACGCATGTGACGGGTCCTAAGGCCATAGCGTTTTGGGTCCCAGGAAGCAAGTGGCATTTGCTTATGTTGTGGCTTAAGAAGGAAAAAGTTTGCTTTATAGCTTTGCTGACATCAGGATTCTCCCCTGCCATTGAGAAGAAAGCATTATCTACTTACCTTCAGGTGGTTTACTTATTCTGTAAAGAATACGTGTAAATATTTTGTACAGAGCCCTGTATGAAATAAACAGCCATATGTGGTTACCGATCACCTCTTCCGTCATTCTGTCCTTGCGCACCACTTTTTGGGAGTGGACTCTGGTCTTAGACATCTGGCCTGGAGGCTCCCCACCTTCCACCCCTGGCCCGGGACCCGTGCACTCCTGCTTGGCCCTGACTTGCAGGAGACCCGGGCAGTGCCTGCAGTCATGCTCTTTCTATTTCAGCTGCAAGAAGTATGGTCTACACACTCCAGCTGCTGCCTGGGGCCCTGTGAGAGTATGAGGTATGTACGTATCGGGTTTTGTCCATATTCTGGATCATAACTCTCATAGCCTGTGTTAGAATGTTGGGGCGCTGCAGGCCTCAGAAAACAGAATCTTGCTCTCATCTTCTCGTGGCCTCCTTTCACCTGCCCAAGGCAAGACCCTGATCCCATTGTGGGTCATAAGACCCTCTTTCCCTCGAGGGCCCCATGCCTAGGAGGAAGGAATGCTGCACAGAGGCCGCGGAGAATCTGAACAGACGCCTTGCTGGGCGTCCCCAGTCTGTTGGTACTAGATCATATCCTTTTTGTCCAGTCACATTTCAGCACAGTTGCCCATGCTTCAGTTATGCCTATCCAGTGAAATCTCCATGAAAGGCCCAAGAGGACAGGGTTTGGGAAGCTTCCAGAGAGCTGAACGTGAGCAGGCTGACAGGAAAGTGAACAAGAACCATCCGCGTGCTGGAGGGGTGCAACCCAACCCCATGGGGACAGAAGCTTCTGCACTCAGGACCCTTGCAGACCTCACCCTATTGTCTCTTCAGCTGGCTGTTTATTTGTATCCTTCAGAATATCCTTTGTAATAAACCAGTGTGTTATCCTCGAGTTATGTGAGCCACTGTAGCAAATTAATCACAGCCAAAGACAGAAGTCGTGGGAATCCCAGTTGAAGCTGGTCGGTCAGACTTTCCGGAGGCCTGGACTTGCGTGCGACTGGTGGGAAGGGAGGGGGCGCAGTCTTGTGGGACCGAGCCCTCAACCTGTGGTTTCTGAGGCCGCCTCCAGGTACATAATAGCATCAGAATTTAGTTGGGTTGGAAGGCGCCCAGCTGGTGTCCACTGCAGAATTGTCACTTGGTGTGTGGGAAGAAACCCCCACGTTTGGTCACAGTAATCTGTTGCCGAGTGAGCGCAGAGTTTGTGTTCACGTTTTTGCCACACTCAAAGGCTCTGTCACAGTCGACGCTGTGGTTCGGGGAACTAGTCTGGGATGCTCTTGGCTATTTTTCACACACCATTCTGGGGATGCCTTTAGCTTTAGGGGTGGTGTGTGGATTTGGAAGCTAACCAGAGCTGGATGTGGATGTTGATGCAACTTTTCTGCCACATGTAATTTCCATCCACAGAGGAGCTGTTGAGAGCTGTTCTTGCCAAGCTTTCCAACGTTCCCAGCTGCCGGTAGTGGGTGCTGAGCAGAGCAGAGTGCTGGCGTCACTCAGCTCCTTGACCATGTCCCTCCACCACAGGCCACTCCTGCAGGCCGTGGAGTACACCCGGCTGGCCAGGACACTGCCTGCCTCTGGGAGCTCACACCAGACAGTGCTGAAGAGCACTTGAAGGAGCAGTTTATTTTGAGCAGCAAATTCTGGGGCAGTTTCTTAGGCATCGATGGTTGAATGTAAAGAATGATCGAATTTTGACAATTAGTCTGTGTGGTATAATAAATATTGGGTCTTTGTCCCAGGGTCCTTGACACAGGGCTCCTAAAACCCTTGGAATTTCCCGAGTGTTAGGAGTATCTCTCCTGTTATTTTTAATGGTCGCCTTTTGATCCAACCTGAGTTGGTACTAATGAGGTGACTTAGGTGGGACCCTTGATAGCCTCAGGATGGGCTGTCACCAGAAACACCATGTGATCAGAGAGTGGGGACTTTCGGCCCCCTGTATTGACCTCCTAGGAGTGGGGAACACTGGGGATAGCTCTTTAAAAACTTTAATGGGATCCGGTGAGCCTGGGTTGCCGCCCATACCCTGCCCTGTTCGTCTCCTCCCCTTGGCTGTTCCTGCATTGCATCCATTATGATAAACCAGTAAGTATGAGTACCGCGTCTCCCTGAGTTCTGTGAATCGTTCCAGCAAATTATCGAACCTGAGTGGATGGGGTCATGGGAACCCTGAATTGGGAGTTGGCCAGGCAGAAATGCGGTAGTCTGGGTGCTGTGGCTGCCATCTGAAGTGGGGACAGTCTTGGGGGACTGAGCCCCTGTGGAACTTGAGGCTAACTCCAGGTGGAAAGTGTCAGAATTGGATTGTTGGACGCCCAGCTGGTGTCAGAGAGCTGGAGAAGTGCTGCTGGGAACCACCACACAGCATTCGAGGCTGAGGTAAAAATAACACTCAAGTAACAAGTGTCAGAGTTTTGGGGACAGCAAAGCCCAGGAGGGCTGGGGTTTGGGGTCCGTGGAGAGATGTGGTGGGCCACATCAGTGGGGTGCCAGCACCAGGGCGGGATGGCTGTGTAAAGGAGTTGCCACGCTCTACTGTGGGCAATTTGGGGTGAGTACGAGCCATGACCTAAGCTGGGTTTGGGGAGAGAATTGTTGGGGGCCTGTTGGGTCTGAGACTGAGGACCAGGTGTGTCCCTTCCTTGCTGGCCATGTGAGCATCTGCAAGTCACTGCCTCTTTGAACTTGTCCTTAACAGTAAAACAGGGATAGGCCCATCCCACATGGAGGGTTTAATGAAATGGAGTTTGTGAAAATGCTTTACAAACTGTGGAGTTGTGCCAGTGTTAACATTTTGGTGAACGTTTATTAATTAATAAACACCTTCGGCCAGCCCTGCACTTGGGCGCCCTTGCCGCTCCAGGGACTGCCTGAAAGGAATAGGCCTGCGGCTCTTGCCAAATCCAGCTAAGCTACGATGGGACCTGAGGCTCAGCCTGGTTGTCTTTGTTTCCCCTTTCCCAGACCTGCCTTCTCTGTCTGTCCCGTTGGTGGCCCCTACTCCCTGGATATCTTCTCCAGGCTTCCTGTGAGCGACCGGGTTCTGGGCTTGCCTCCCACCTCCTGTGTTTGAAATGAGCGTCTTTCATGCCAGCCCCAGACGCTGGAGGAAGCCCTGTGCTAGCCCTGGCACAGGCCATGGGCCCGTCCTCAGCTTTCTACCCACATCAGCGGCCGCTGCGCTTTATCCCGAGCAATGGGCTTCCACTCACCTTCCCTGTGGCACTAAGGAATGGTCTTGCCCAGGCCTGAGCCTTTCTGCTCCCAGGGCTGGCGAGGCTGCCCGGTGTAGCCTCTATCAGCTACAACAGTTGCCCTGAGCCAATGCTGGCAGAGCTGGAAGGCACTCAGTCCACTCAGTCTCTGATATCACTGTTCAGTGACCAGGGACAACTCTTTTGAGTCTTAGCATCCAGTGACAGGGCGGCACTGCCCTTCCCTGCAAAGCACCAGCCCAGTGTCTGAGGCCTGGGGTCGAGGCCTTGAATGGCAGAGACACCTGCTGCGCGCCATAGTGACGATCACATAACAGTGCAGGCAACATGGTGCACATCAAACGCCAGAGCTCAACAGGTCAAAGGGGGGTCATGGGGTGGACATCCTGGGTCTATGTTTTATTAATCCCAGCCCAGCGAGTGGGTACTAATATTGCCGTATCAGTACTTTGCCATCTGGCCCAAGATGTTAAAATTAGGATGGACCACCTCACCCCTCAACTGCAGCAGCTTCCCCTGCTCCTGAACTGTCTGCCCTCCAACCCTGGGTGCTCACTGAGAGGCCAAAAGGGAGTGGCAGCCTGTCGCTGCTGCCTTGGCCCCTCCCGCGCCTTAAGCCCATGTTGATCTGCAAACCCTTCTTTGCAGACTATTGACACACTGCAAACTCCGCCTGTCCAGCCTAACGCTGACCCAAGAGCATCCCTGCCCCGCAAGTCAGGCACGGGGTGCCAAGTGTGGCACAGGGATCCCAGTGCTCTGTCACTGCCCCATTCTACCACTGAAGGGCCAAAGATCAACTTCCTGGTGCAGGTTCCTAGAGAGCCTGGGATCCTGCCTATGTGTAGAGTCCCAGCCCGTGACATTCACTTCCTCTCAGGGACATCACAGTCATCCCTTCCTGGAAAACTATTTTAATTAGCTTACACGGGCAGCAGAGAGGGAGATGCAGAGCCAGACACGATGGGCTGTGCTTTCTAAACCACCTGCTCTCCCTCGTGGCTGGGAACAGATTAGCAGGAGTTCTAAGCGCCAGGCCTCCAACCACAAAGGCAGAGAAAAGTCACCCCCCAGAAAGCCAGCAGCAGAAAGGAGGCGGCTGTGAGTGCTTTGGTGCGCAGCAGACAAGGGTGGCAGTTGGGAGGAGTCTGGAGTCACGGTGCTTCTGGCCAGGGGCTGTGTTTAAGGCTGGGGTCAGGCAGAGGTGGGAGCTGCAGAGAGCCCCAGGGAAAGGACAAAGGCACTGGGACAGATGTGACTGTGGACAACAGTGTGGGGGGGGGGGCCTGCAACTCCTACGGCAAATGAGGCTGTCCATGCAGCTCAGGGGCCCTGGCCTCTGCAGGGCCCCTGCCTTGACCAAGCACAAAGGCATCTCCCAGGCCAGAAATCGGAGCCAAAGCCTCAAGCCCAGCCCTGCCCCACCCCCACAACAGCCTGCAGATGTGGGACTGGGTCAGCGTGGGGACCTGGCCATCTTTAGCTCAGTGGCAGTTCTGACAGCTTGGGTGGCAAGGAATTCCATTCACTCGGCAGCGGCAGCCTCCGCTGGTGTCTCCTGGGCCCTGGAGGATGGGAGGAAGAGAAGAGAATGTCAGGGCACCAAAAAGACTGCTCCCAAAGCCGTGCACACCCTCCCACTCTGCGCCTCTGCCCTTGCAGGTCCTCCTGCTAAGAACAGCCTTCTTGGCCTCGGCTTCCTGATGGAGACAGCCCGAGGCCTTTTCTGGGCTCCCACAGCACTCAGTCTACCCACCCCTAGACCCAGGGAAAGGACTTGACCACTCTGCATATCCTGGATAGGTCAGCACGTTGGCAGTGTGAAAGAGGGCAGTTTACTCTCCCATTTTTTTTTTTTTTTTGAGACAGGGTCTTGCTCTGTTGCCTCAGCTAGAGTGCAGTGGTGTCATCATAGCTCACTGCAACCTCAAACTCCTGGGCTCAAGTGATCCTCCTGCCTCAGACTTCTGAGTAGCTGGGACCACAGGTGTCTGCCACCGTGCCCAGCTAATCTATTTTTTATAGAGACAAGTCCTCACTATGTTGCCCAGGCTGGGCTCAAACTCCTGACATCAAGGGATCCTCCTGCCTCGGCCTTCCAAAGTGCTAGGATCACAGGTGTGAGCCACTGTGCCCAGGCTCCATGTATCTTAAAGTCTACATGTAACAAGGAGCCCCAATTCCAGGAACACAACCCTCGTAATGACAGCTACCATTTGCACAGTGCTCACCATGTGATAAGCTCTCAGCTAAGCACTTCTCTTGCATTTTTTCACTGGATTCTGACAAGAAGCCTGAGACAGGCCCTGCTATCGTCCCCGTTTCACAGAGGAAGAAACTAAGGCTCAGAGAGGGGAGTAAAAGCCAGTATGTGCCAGAGCGGGATCAATCCAGCCGGGATTCGCCCCCAAACTGAACCTTTACTCGCTGTCCTCCAGGGCAGGGGTGGGCAAACCTTTTCTGCAAAGGGCCAGTCATTTTAGGCTGGGCAGGCCACACGGTCTCTGCTCTGTAGTGCAAAAGCAACCACAGACAGTATGTAAACAAATGAGCTCGGCTCTGCTCCAAAGGACTTTATCTATGGACACTGAAATTTGGATTTCATATAATTTTCACATCATGAAATATTCATCTTTTGATATTTTTCAACCATTTCAAGATGTAAAGAACATTCTTACCTCGGGAGCTGTACACAGGTGCTGGGTTGGATCTGGCCCACGGGCTGTGGCTTTCCAAGTCCTCCTCTAGGGCAGACACCACAAGGGCGCCCTGCCCACCCCACTACTGAGCCCTCCGCTCCCCAAGGACTCACCCCGGGACCCCAGCGCGGGCCCTTGGTGACCCAGCAGATCTCAGTGTGGCAGACGGTGCAGCGGATCCAGTCACAGCCATCCTTCTTCTGCACCACGATCTGGCACTGCGGGCAGTGCATGGCCTCGCCCTGCTGCAGCATCAGCTGGAACAGCAAGCGCTGACCTCAGGCAGGGGCCGGCGCAGCTGCCCAGCCTAGTCCTGCCCCTGGCCCCCTCCTGACTGCAGGGAAAAAGCGGTGACCCCCGGAGTCGTGGAATCACTTTGCCGTGCTTCTCCACCAGGCTGGGCTCCATCCAGTGCCTCCTTCACTCCTGGGGTCTCCTCCCTCTACCCACTCTTCCCACTGCTGCCACCTGTGCACTTGGCCTAGGTCCCATCCCTGGATGGGAATGATGGCCAGAGGGAGGTCAGGACGTCCAGGGATGTGTGAACACAGCCCTTTCTGAGAAGCCCCCGCGCCCCGACTTGCCCCAGAACCCAAATCCCCAGCCCTTGGCCTTGTCCCTGCCTCACCTTCAGCATCTCCGTCGTCTGCCGGGCAGCAACATCGTTCTGCGCTCGCAGGGCCAGGTCGTCCTGATACTCCTTGCAGTTCATACGCTCATGGATGGCCTGCAGGGGGAGGGGCTCGAGGTGAAAAGGTTCCCCAGGGGGTTAACAAGCGGGGGAGGCGAGGGGTGGTAGGGTGGGCATCTGCGTAAGCACCTAATGCCTCTGCGTGTAGTCAGTGACAGGGCCCACTCTGTAAACTGCACACCACTTTACAGAAGAGAACGCTTAGGCCAGAAGGTGAAGTCAGGGTCATCACATATGGTAATAATGACATATACCTATTTGTTCTCAGTTCTGGTGGGCGCAGAAATCCCTACCACACCTCTCCTGCAGGCTGTGGCCCTGAGTCCCTCCCTAGGTTCTGCCCAAAGCCCAGAGACAGCTTGCTTGGCCAAGTCTGAGACCAGGCTCAAGACCTGCCTGCCTGCTCCTCACCTTAGTGGTCAAGTGTTGAGATGACCGGGGCAGGGGTAGGCCCGCGGAAGGATCAGGCAGGGCTGAGTCTGGGTTCCGGTCAGAGCTCAGTTCAGGACAAGGGTGGAGACTTGGTATGGGGCCAGGTCAGGGCTTGGTCTATGATGACTGAGGGGCAGTCAGAAACCAGGGTTGGAGCTTGGCTTGGGGTTGAGCTCAGTATGGGATCAGGTTAAGCAATCAGCCCAGGGCCTGGGCTCAGTATGGGACTGGGATTCAGTCTGTGACTGGGGCCAGAGCTGGGTCAGGGCTCAGTCTGGGCCTGGGGCTAGTGCTCAGTTGTGGGCCAGGGCTGTGTAAGTTGAAGCTGCATCTGGGGCCAGGTCTGAGACTTGGTCTATGGGGTCAGGGCTCAATCCTGGACAAGTCATGCGCTCTCACTGACATGTAGCTCTAAGTCGTGAGCTCCCAGCAGTACAAGTGAGTAGGCAGTTTGGGTCCCTGTCCCCACCTTGCACAGCAGGCAGTTGACGTGGAAACACACGGGGCAGGTGAACTCGTTGACATCATCCTCAAAGAAGCACCATCCCTTGCAGTCTGGGGTCTTGCAGTGGTAGCTGAAGGCACTGCGGTTCTCAGCAATGGAGATGCTCAGGTCTAGAAATCGCTGGTAATCCTCAGGGGTCAGCAGCTACCAACACACCATGTCCTTGTTGCTCAGGGTTCAGAACACCTAATACATGCCCCTCCTTGCCACCAAATACCCTCCAGAAAGCCCCCAGCTCATAAACTCTGACCCAGGCCCAGGCTCTTTTCCTCACGTAACCTCCATGGTGTTGAAAAACTCCATTCAAAAGTGGACTTAAAAAAGCTCTGGAAATGGATGGTGGTGATGGTTGCACAGCAATGTGAATACATTAATACTTAGGCCAGGCGCGGTGGCTCACGCCTGTAATCCTAGCACTCTGGGAGGCCGAGGCGGGCGGATTGTTCTGAGCTCAGGAGTTCGAGACCAGCCTGAGCAAGAGCGAGACCCCGTCTCTACCAAAAAATGGAAAGAAATTAATTGGACAGCTAAAAATATATGTAGAAAAAATTAGCCGGGCATGGTGGTGCGTGCCTGTGGTCCCAGCTACTTGGGAGGCTGAGGCAGTAGGATCGCTTGAGCCCAGGAGTTTGAGGCTGCTGTGAGCTAGGCTGACGCCACGGCACTCGCCCCAGGCAAGAGAGTGACACTCTGTCTCAAAAAAAAAAAAAAAAAAAAAACTTACTGAACACTTAAAAATGTTCAAATTTTATGTTATGTATATTTTACCACAATTTAAAAAAGGAAAAAAAAAATGAACAAAAATAGTAACAGACAATACCAGGGAAGATGTGGTTAAACTAGTATCCTGGTACGTCACACTCTGAGAAAGCAATGTGGCAATAATGTTTCAACCAGCCCAAAGTTTTCTGACCCTTTGGCACCCATCCCACTTCTGTAAGTTTATCCTAAGAAAATAATACATTAATATAAGAGGCACCATGCAAAATGTTTCTTGAAGCAGTACCTACAAACTGAGAAACTAGAATTCCTAAGAGGTACAAACAGTATATATACCACAGAGATTTATAATAATCTTTAGAAAGATTCTGTAGCAAAGTAGCGAAAGCCGATTGCATCCATGCTTGTTAACGAGGTAAAATCACGCGTATGCCTGTGTTCTGTATCTGGATTGGGTGGTGGTTACACGAGTTGTATTTGTCAAAACTCATCTAACTGCACACTTACAATGGATGCATTTTATTGTATGCAAAGTATACTTTACTAAATTGAGTTAAAAAGGAAAAAATTATGTCTGCCCAGAAACACTGAAGGAAATAGGACAAAATGCAACTGGAGGACTTCTTGGGGTGGTGGCCTTGTGGGTGATTTTTCTCTTTGACTTCTACTCGGGCTCTATGTGGTTTCAAGCATGTTTTGTTTTTGTAGAAACCACCTCCACTGCGTTACTCTGCTGATCCTTGTTCCTTTTTCTCTCTGCCACACTTGACCTTTCTCTGAGACTTGGGTCAAATCCCAGGGGCTCCAGAGAAGTTCACGCAGCCCCTTGGCATGAACCATGGCCCGTCACGATGCCCCTTGGCAGGGCTGCACTTCACAGGCAAAACCTCTGGGCAAATGGCCATGGGTGCTGCCTCAGACCCACACTCTTAGCCAGTCCCCAACTGCCAGCTCCAGGCCCAGTTCCTGGGGACCCAGGGTGTCCCCTCCCACCCCCAGTCCTTACCGCCCGGATCTCCCTCTCCAGCAGCTTGCCCGAGCACGAGTAGGTGTTGTCAATGAAGGGGCAGGAGACCTCCGCCTCCTGGCTGTTGCGGATGGTGCCCTGCAGGCACTCCCTGGGTGGGGGGTGGGAGTTAGCGTCATCGGAACCCTGTCCACTAAGGACTCCACCCCTCACATGGCAGGGCCTGAGCCCAGGGGCCTTTCTCAGCCACCCCAGGTGGGCTTCTCCTCAATACCCTTCTTCCTTCCCATCCCTCCCACCCACCCGCCACTATGGCCTCCACTCTGTCCACTCCACTGCCACCCCTGACATTCTGGTCCAGGCCTGGATGGCTGCAGTACCCTCCTCACGGGGTCCCTGTGTTCACCTTGCCCCTAGAGTCCATCTCAGCACAGCATCCAGGCCTCCCGAGGGGCCCCTATCCCACCCAGAACAAACCCAACAACCTGCGGTGGCCTGCCCTCCCCAACACCTCTCTGTCCTCCTCTCCGACTTCCCCATTCATCCCTCTGCTCTGGCCATGAGACCTCCTTGGTCTCCTCCAACAGGCCAGGCCCGTGCCCATGGAAGACCTTCCAGGCTCTGCTCTGGGGCTCCAGACCTCCTTGGAGGCCTCCATCCACCCTCCCTGGGCTCTGTTGCCTGTATCATAATCCACTGTTACTTAGCAGTTGACACAATTTACAACATCAATCAGTGGTGATCTTAGTCCTCGCACTGCAGTGCTGGGCTCCGGGAGGCAGGAACAGAGCCTGGCCCCCAGGGGCTGCTCCGTAAACAACTGCTATGGTGAATGGGTGCATGTTCTCTGCACCCAGGGATGGAAGGGTAACGACAAGAGACTGAGAGAGGGAGTCTCAGATGCCCACAGTGCAGGCTGCCAGGACTAGGGCCCCAGTTCCCTTGCCTGGGTGGTCGGGGGTAGTGGGTAAGGGCAGAGGCTCTGGAGCCAGGATGCCTGGGTTCACCTCTGGGCTTCTCTTATGAGCTGTGTGGCCCTGGATAAGTTGCTTGACCTCTCTGTGCCTCATGTTCCTCATCCGCAAAATGGGGAGATAGAGCCTACCTCGTAGGTTTTTGTGGGCGTCCAGTGAGACGTCAGAGCACAGGGCCCCACCCACCTTCTGCCGGGGGTGGGACTGGGGCCGCACCTGCAGAAGGTGTGCAGACACTCACGCAGCACCACGGCCTCGCCGGGCCCCAGCACCGAGTAGCACACGGGGCACTCGGCGGGCTCGGTGTTCAGCACCAGGCTCTTCTGGTCCAGCTGGACGTGCTGCAGGTAGTTCCCCTCCTGCTGCTGCTGCTTCCGCTGGGCACACGGGGCGGGGCCGCGGGGCGGGTCAGGGTCTCAGGGGCCCGGTCAGACCATGAAGGGGGCAGGGCCAGGAGGCGGGCAATGCGGGGTGAGCGCAGGATCGTGGGGGTGGGCAGGTGAGGACAGCAGGAGGCAGGCTGGGAGGGGACTGGGAACAGGGCTGGGCAGAACTGGGGAAGCCCAGTGACCAGGTAGGTCAGGCTGGGGCTGCAGCCGGGGGCGGGGCCAGGCAAGAGAGCGCTGCGGCAGGAAGGGGGCCAAGGTGATTGGGGAGTTGGGGTAGCAGGGCTCACATCCCTACCAAGAACTGGGGTCAGGGGGTGGTGGTGGAGCCAGGTCAAGGTTGGGACAGGGAGGTGAGAGCTAGGGGGCACAGCAAGGTTGTGGATGGGCCCAGGAGTGGGGTCACGCCTGGACGGAGCAGTGGGCATGTGCTCAGAATGGGGGAACATGCAGGGCCAGGTGTCTGTGCCACGCTTAGTGTGGCTGAGGGAGGACAGGACAGAGAGAGGGGTCATTCCCCAGGGAGCAGTGAGGGGGGGCCATGCCAGAGGGTAGGGTCAGGAGTAGCAGGGTCCAGGATGAGGTCTCGGGTGGAGCAGGGGTTAGGTCACAGGCCAATGGGGGTGAAGTCCAAGCTGAGGCGTGGTCAGAGTCACGGCTCGAGTGCTGGGGTCACAGCCAGGGACAATTGTGTACTAGGGTGTGTGTCAAAGCTAGGGGCAGAGCCACGGCCTCGTGGGAGCGGGGCACGTGAACCTGGATGTGCCTCATAGCCAGGGAGCAGGGTTGCAACCACAGGGTGACCTCCGAGAAAGGGCGGGTCACAGCCAAGTGCAGGGTCACTGGCAGCGGCATGGCTGTGAGGGGGCGAGGCAGTGACGCGGAGGAGCAGCGATGTGCAGGTGTCTCCCTTCCTGGCCTACGCCTCCCCCGCCTGGCCTGCAGGTGTCTGTCGGGGACTGCCGCGCCCACCTGCTGGTACTGGCGCAGCGCCTCCTCCTCGCCGGCCAGGCGCGCCCGCTCCTCCTCGTCAGGCTGGTACGAAGCGGGGACCTGGTAGGTCTCGGGCCGCGCCCGGCAGCACATCTCACATCCAGGCCTCGTGGGCTTGTTGATGAAGGTGCAACCGGGGCACTGCCAGCCCACCTGGGAGCAGAGGGGACCGTGAGCGGGGCAGGGCAGGGCGGGGGCAGGGGGCACGCAGAGGCGGCTTACCAGCGGGGGCTCAGGTACCCCATCTGGCTGAACCTGTCTGGGCTCCTGAGGGGCCCCGGGCTTTGGAGGGGTTGGCTCCAGGGGGCCCCGTGGCTGCAGCGTGAGGTCCTTGAAGCCCAGATCTGTGGAGGAGAATTTAAGGGGTGTCGGATCCACGCAGCCCGCCTGGCCCACACCCTGAGCCAGCCAGGCAGACCCACCCTCCATCCCGCCCTCCTGCCTGCAGCTGTCTCCGCCGCCTCTCGGCCAGGTGCGCATCCGGCATCCCAGGGTCCGGGTCCCGCGCCACCCATGAATGCTCTTATGTTCGCTGGGCCCCCTGTGCCTCCTGAAGGACACACCCAGAGGGACACAGCAGCACCTCTGAGGCAGTCCTGCCAAATTACTGACTCAAATCCATTCAGGAGGAAACATGAGACCAACAAAGAAACTGGCCTGGACTCTTTGAAAGGGACTGAGACATGACAGCTGAATGCCAAGTCTTTTGCTACAAAGGACATTAATTGGACAACTGGTAAAATCTAAGATCTACAGATTCAATAACTACTGCATCAATGTAAATTTCCTGAATTGGACAGTTGTACCTGGTAATGTAAGAAAATGACCTTTCTTTTTAAGAAAATGCACACTGAAGTATTTAGGGGGGAAGAACATCATGTCTGCAACTTACTCTCAAAATGGTTCAAAAAATAACTTTATATACGGAGAGAATGATAAAACAATGCAAATGTGGTGAAATGTTAATATTTAGGGAATCCACGTGAAATGTACTTGGGAATTCTTTATACAATTCTTTCTACACTTTTCCAACTTTCCAAAGTAGGTCTGAAATATTTCCAAAGTAAAAAATATAGAATACACACTAATTATCATCGTCATCATACCCAATTTACAAATTGAGCACACTGTGGAGCAGAGACAGGAACGAACCTGCCCAAGGTCACACACCTGGTAACTGCCAGAGCCGGCCTGGGTCAGCCCCTCCCCCACGCCAGCTGTTCTCAAATGCTTCCCTGCAATGCTTGCTCCAGGTGTCTCAGCTCCTCACTTCTCCACCTGGGTAAGGCCATCCAGGTGAATCCCTGACTGCAAGCCCAGGGGCTCTGTCCCCCCTCTCCCTGGTGCCCTACAGCCTCAGGTGAGTCCAGGGCCCCCCAAGTCCCGTGCTACTTGAGGCAGCCTCACCCTCCAGCATCCGCAACTGCCGCTCCCGCTGCAGCTCCTGAGGGTTGAGCGAGGTGTTGCGGGCTGACAGCAGATAAAGGTAGGCACTGTCCCCATTGCGCCGCACCCCATGGGAGTGCAGGGTCTCCTGGTCTCGTGCCAACCGCTGCCCAATCACCCACTGCTGCAGGGCTGGCGGGAAGCCATAGTCCAGGAATACCTGGCAGGGGCACCAAGAGAGAAAGAGTGGGAAGGGAGGAGAGAGGGCACAGGGGGGAGGAGCGAAATCGGGCGGGGCCTCTGCTCAATGTCTCCCTTCGGCCTCCTCACTCACCATGTCCTTGAGGGAAGCCACTGTCATGTCAGGGCGCACTGTGAGCCAGATGGTGACCGTGTGCAGGTGAGCATCCTCTACACTCACCCACAGCCTGCAGGGAAGAGTAGGGGCGGGGAGAGGGCTCTGGCCACCAGCTGCATACATGTATACCTGCACCCAGGTGCACGCACATGCATGTACATACAGTCACACACATATATCCCCTAGTCTGGGGCAGGGACTCCCCCCGGATTCCCACGCCCCTGTCCCTCCTCCTTTATTAGAACCCACTCACCGCCCAAGCCCCTCCAGTGGCTCCAACTGCTCTAGAATAAACTGACTGCAGCACACAAGGGCCTCCTCGATCTGGCGCCTCCCCTACCTCTCCAACCTCTTCTGTCTTCTCTCCCCTGCTCCTTAGCCAAACCACCAAAAGCTGTTATTTACTACACGCCAAGACTATTCAACACGCTTACTTAATGTGCATTAACTCGCTTAATCGTCTCAATGAACCCATGAGCAGGCACTGCTGTGTCTCTTTTTTACAGATAAAAACATGAGGCACAGAGAGGTTCACAGTGACAGCGCCAAAGTGAGCAATTAACTGTTAGAGGCAGGACTGAAATTCAAACAGTATTATTTCAGAGAAAGTGGTTTTAACTTTCTCAAGGATCCTCAAACATTTCTGGCAGACCAAAAGCATGAAAAAGGGCTAAGATGAAAACACAGACTGACCCCAAAGGAAACAGAGATCATTTAGGGTACAGAACAATGGTGAAGTTGAACCAGTTCCTGTAGAGAGATTCAGGAAGATTTTGCCTTCCTGAAAGCCAGGACAGGCAAGAAGGAACCAGAAAATGAGGACGGGTTCCTGGACATTAAAAAAGTTAAGTGTTAGGGCCGGGCGCAGTGGCTCACGCCTGTAATCCTAGCA